GAGGAGGAGGAGGAGAGGCAGCAACCGCCTCTTGGACCCTCGCGGGACGCTCTTGGAGCGCTCTTGGGCGCTGTTGGCCTTGTCTTGGGGCCCTCTTTGGGCTCTCTTGGGCTCTCCTGGGGGCCCTGGAGGGCTTCCTGAGGCCATCTTGGAGACCATCGATGAAAAGGGGAGTGGTCCCTCATCTAGGTCCCCCCTCTCTGGGGCCCCAACTTGCTCTTGGGGTCCTCGTGGGGCCCTCTTGGGGCCTATCTTAGGCTCTCTTGGGGGCCTCTTGGGCCCCTCTCGGGCCTATCTTGGGCCATCTCGGGGCCATCTTGAGGCCTTACACAGCGTATCGCAAGCGAACAGGCGAGAGGGCACACAGCATCGAGTCTCGCCAGGTTTTTGAAGAGATCTGTGTTCCTGGGGGAGTTCAGAAAGGGCCTCCGAGAGTCAGGCGATCGCAAACATGGATCATGGGGGCGTGGATTAGCGACGGGTCCCGTTCCATGGGAAATCTAGTATTTTCGCCGCCGAACGAGGCGGCACTGGCCGCATTTTCGGGAGGGCACTTCCCCCGATCCATGGATTTGGCGACCGCGCGCCAAATCCATGGATCGCTAATCCATGTTTGCGCGCCCCCGAGAGAGATCACTCGTAAGCGTCTTGTGGCCATTTTGAGGCATGTCGGAAGCTGTCTTGAGCCAACTTCGGCTATCTTGACCCATGTTGGAGCATCGGGAGTCCCCTTGGAGCCATCTTGGGCCATTTTGGGCGCCCTGACGACTCGCCCCCCCCCCCCCCCCCGAAGGGAAGAGGGGTTCTGGAAAAGGAAAGAGAGACACCGCTATGCCCCGAGGGCTGGTGGGATTTGGAGCCGCAGTGATTTGAGGCCACTTCTTCAGTACAGTTGGACCGAGGCATAAGATCGAGGTCGGTTCGGGGAGGGCACCCTCATGCTCTTCGTGTTTGTTGGCTGTTGGTCGACCAGAAGAGGTGCACTCTCGACCCGCGGATCAAAAAGTTTGTTGGCTGTTCTTGTGCACCCCGGAGGAGAGTACCATTGGATGTTCTGTTTGTTTTGGCCGACGGAGGGTCTCATGCTCTTGGAGGATGTTCTTCTGGCCTACGTAGATCCGACGGTAGCAGGGCGCAGCCGCGCCCGGCCAGCTTCTAAAGGACACAGGGGAAGGCCCACCCCATGTCGGACCAGTGTGTCAAAGGACGGCTCCCAGCATAGCCCCCGCAGTGTTTCTGTAACCTCGAGGGGGGGATCACGCGGGCGAGCACGAGGTCACTTTCGTTTCGGCGGCGAGCGAGGGGCAAGTGAGAAGGAAAGGCCCTCTCAGAAGGCGGCGGGGCTTCTCAGAAGCCCCTCGCGCCTTCTGAGAAGTCTTCGGTGTCTTCGGGGAAGGCGTAGACAACTTTTCAGAAGGCTGGGGGACCTCCGAGCCTTCTGAGAAGGTCTGCCCCGTCTCACTTCCCCCGGGCCCGCCGCCGATCTTCAGCACAACGGAGGCTTCCATGGGCAAGCACGTGGCCATTTTGGCTCGGGGCTTTTTTTATTTACAATGACTTGCACGAGCACTTTTTGGCCACAGGCAGCCCTGTTGGATGCGGTCGAGCGCTTGAGCCTCCGATGCGCAGCTGGCAAGGCATCACCGTCTTCAGGTCTGCCCATTGTTCTCGCTGACGATGAACCGACTGCCCTCTCAACTTCTAGTGCAGTCTAGACGGCATCGACTCATCGGCCGCTGGAATCAAATTATGTGCCTTTGCATGTGCTTCGGTGTCAGGAGTCCCTTCTTCGTGCCTCCCATGCTCGACCTCTTCTTCTGGGGCTGTGCCCACGGCTTCGGAGTCGGTGGCTTCTGCAGCCGGGGAGCCCGGTCACAGCCCTGGCGGCCTGACGCAGACGAAGCGCCAGCCGTGGTCTGTTTTCTTAAATGTTAGATTGCGTCTTCTCATTCCTCTTCGGGGACGGCCCGCCTGGTCCGAGATCATCGATCGCCGGCGCACCATCGCTGCGATCATCCGCCAGAACCGTGGTGTCGTACCCGCGGAGGCCCTCGCACAGTGCCTGGCTCAGCCGCCGCGAGTTCCAGAAAGCGTGGGGGGAGGATGAGATTCGGGAGGCCAGGGAGACTGGCATTGCTTCGCTTCTGTTGTCGAGCACTTCCCTGGGAAGCCTCGTGCTGTTCCGATCGGGCGCGGGTTCCTAATTGCACCTTCCCCAAGTTGCTTGGCGATGCTGTTGCCAAACTGTTTGCATTCAAGTCGCTCAGGAGCCAATACCGCCCTTCCTGGCCGAGGGCGGGTGGGTCTTCTCATAGCGGAGCCTAACTTTAGAAACCTTTGAAAACGTACGGAACATTCAGGATCGGATTTTGGCTTCGGGGGGGCCGTCATCGGGGTCCTCTTGGGCCGTCTTTACCTGGTCTGTCATTGGGCCCGCTTGGGCCGTCATGGGGCTCCGTTGGGTCGTCTTAGCGCCCCCCAGAGCGTCGCAGAGTTGTCTTCGGGCTTTCTGAGGCCGTCAGGGACAATGTGACGATCCTCTGAGGAGAGCGTCCCTGGGGCGCTTCGGGCGCTCTGGGCGCTTGGGGGAGCTCTGGGGTGTTTTTTTGGCCCGCACTTTTCGCACCTTCCCTGACTGGCATTGTAGTACAGATGTCATCGGGTTCTAGCCTCGCCTTCCACACTGTTCTGCGCAGTGGCAGAGAAAGCTGCCACTGCTTGCCATTCCAGCACACGCTGTACCCAGCGCTACTGCTATTGCCAACGATCTCGGGCTCCAGCTTCTCCTCCCGCTTCTCACATAATGCTTGGTGTCGCTTGGGCGTGTGCATTTTTTCGGTGAGGACCATCGAGCAGCATCCTGAACCGTCGAGCAAAAGAAACACAGGGAATGGACGTCCGAGCGACGGCAAGAACGGTGCCAGAGCCGCCTGCCGCTCGCCGCTCTCGGACGCCCTGACCCCAGCGCTGTAGCTCGTGAGATCGGGCGACGGGGAAGCTGGCCTCTCTGTCTTCAGCCGCTCCTACCGTGGTCATTCGCTGGTGACGCTGGTCGCTGCTGGCCCGCATCGCCTTCAGCTGCTCCGCTCTGTGCACGCCGTCGCTGCTGGCCTGCAGCTCCCGCAGCTGCCGCACCTCTCGATCTCGCGCTTCGGTCCCAGCCGTGTAGCTGATGACGTCGGCTCTGTGGTGCTCCTCTCCTGAGGCCTGGCCCCCCTGGGGGCGTTGGAGACGTCGGGCCTCCTGGTCTGGCCGGACCCACAGCGTGAACTCCCACGGCCCCCCCGAGAGGAACGTGGAGCTGCCTTACGCCACACTTGATCCGATGGTGCCTCTTTGATAGCAGGGCGAGGCGGGGAAAGAGGGGACGGGAGCGGAACGAGGCAGGAGAATGCCATCGCCTGGCTCTTGATTGCTCGTGGGGGCAGCGCCATTCCTAAGTTGGCCGCCCACAACTCGGGATCCCCCCTGCCTGAGAGGATTGGCTGGCAGGACTAGGAGGATGATGAAGCAGGAGGAGGAGGAGAAGGAGGAGGAGGAGGAAAAGCAGCAGGAGGAGAAGGAGCAGGAGAAGTTGGAGGAGCAGGACGCCCAGGGGAAGGTGGGGGAGAGAACCGAAGCGGGGAGACAATGACGAGAAAGCACTCGGATCCGGAGCAGGGCCCACGATGGGGGCCAGAATGCCACTCTGAACTATGGGAGCAAAGCGCCGATCCGACAATGAGGCCAACGCTGCAACGGGAGCACGAATTTGAGACAGCGAAGACTTTCTGATGGAAAAGACAGGAAACACCAGATCATGAAGTCTTGCGTGCGAGAAGCAGTCCGCGGAGGAGAGAGCAGAGAGCAGGATTCACGTCGAGTCACTCTGGAGAGAGGAGGAACTCGAGAGAGCCAGGACGAGGAGGGAGGCAGGAGGAGCGTGGTGGCGCGGAGGCGGCGGAGGAGGCACGGGAGGACGGCGACGACGAGGACGACTGCGGCGCCGCCGCCGATGACCACCACCGCGCCGACGACGACAGCCACCACGCGACGACCACGACGACGAGCGCGACCGTGGCGGCCACGGCCGCGCTGCACGGCCTGCGCGCCGCGTGCCCCGCCGCCGCCCCCCCCCCCGGAGGCCGCGAGCCTCCGGCTGCCGGGGCCGGGCGCCGCGTTCCCGCGCTGCGAGCGGCAGTGCCCCGCCCCCGCCCCCGCCCCCGGGGCGAGCCTCCGCGGGGAGGCTCGGGGCCGTCGGGGGGCCCGAGGGGCTCGGGGCCGTCGGGGGGCCGGAGGCTCGGGGCTGCCGGGGGCCGGAGGGGCTCGGGGCGGTCGGGGGTCCGTGCCTCGAGGCTCGGGGCCCAGGCTGCGAGGGCCGAGGGTCGAGGATGGGGGGTCGAGCTTCGAGGATCGGGGTTTCGGGGTTCGAGGACAGGCGTTGGAGGCTCGATGAGAAGGGGTCCGAGCTTCGAGGATCGGGGTCGGGCGGCGGGTGGGGTGGGGTGGGGGGGGCGAGATCTGCTGCACCGCAGCTGGGCACCTGTGCCGTGGGAGGTGCTGAAGCCAAGGGCAGGGGCCCTCTGGGAGAGCCAGGTCAGAGGAAGAGGGTCAGACGCGAAGGGACCGCCGATGGTGGCACGGCGGCAACGGCGGCGTCGGCGACAGCGGCGAGGACGGCGGGGTCGGACGGCAGGGGGAAGCGGGAGAGTACAAGCCCCCCTTCACGTCTCTTCCTCCTTCGAGTGAAGCTGTAATCGAGGCGCCTCCAGAGGAGTGACGCCTGCTTTTGTGCGCCGCCCCACACCTTTTCCCTTCTCCTGTGCACACTTTCCTCCACTGACGGGCACGCTCCAAGCCGTTACCGAATGGAACGGTACGAAATCTACTGCACGCAGCTGGCTTCAGCCCCGCCTCCCAGGCACTTCTTTCTCGGTGGCATGCAGCTGATGGGATGGCCCTCCGTTTGCTAGGTCTCTTCGTCCGCCCTGGGAAGCTCGAGGATCTCGGAGGCCTCCTGCGCTTGTTGGGGCCTCCTTTGGGGGGCTCCTCGTCTCCATGACTGGATCCGCCTCGGAGTCCTGGCCAACGTGCGCCCAGTAGGCATCCCCACGGGTTGCTGCTGGAGCCTCCCGGGGCCCCCAGAGGTCCCCCAGAGGTCCCCCAGAGGTCTTCGGGAGGCTTCCGGAGGCTCCTGGAGGCTTCTGGAGGCTTGCTCTGTGCCACGGCGGACACGCGCCGTCAGCCAGCACGGCGCACTTGATCGATGGATTAATGCTCCACAAAGCCTTCCCTCTGGTCGTTCACATCTCCGATCGGCGGCGAGCCCAGGGGGAAGGGAGAGGGGGCAGGCCTCCTCAGAAGACGGCGGGGCTTCTCAGCAGCCCGCGCGCCTTCCGAGAGGTTTTCGAAGCCTTCTGCGAAGCCCGAGGCGTCCTCTCCGAAGGGCGGAGGGCTTCTCGAGAACCCCCGCCGCCTTCTGAGCAGGCCTGCCTCCTCTCCCTTCCCCCCTGGGCTCGCCGCCGATGCGAGGCAGCTCGGACGGGGCCAGGACGAGGATCATCCGTTCCAGAGCGTTCCAGCACGCTCTCAGAGCCCTCTGGAGCGCTCTGGGCAGGCCGCGGCGCCCGAAACATCCTCCAGAGCCGCGGGATCTCAGACACTTCGTCTTAGCAGGCTTCGATCAGCCCTACATGCCGCCACGCTGGTCCCGGGCAGGCTGTGCTGTCCGGCGGAAGGGGACGAGGAGGGGAGAGAAAGGCAGACGACCACGAACGCCCAGGCGGGAGGCCAGGGCCGGCGGGGCGGGCGGGCAGGCAGAAGAGGGGCCAGGCGGAGACAGCAGGCGGAGCAGGAGGAAAGGACTGGGAGGGAAACAAGGCGCAGAAGGGGAGGTAGGAGGAGGAGGAGGAGGAGCAGGAGGAGGCGAGGGGAATCCACCGCATCAGCAGTACCAGTGCCCGTGCCGATCGCACGCGCCTCCGTGCAGGTGCGTCGTCGTCGTGGGCGGCGAGAGCGGAGAAGACAGCGGGGAGCGCGCTCGCCCTCCCGCGCGGTGCGCCGCGTTCTTGCCGGGGGCAGCGATCGGAAGGGACAGGCTCGGGGGGGGGGGGCGGAAGCGTCGAGCTTTAAGTCGGCCACAGGAGGAACATTCAAAAATAGTGAAAAATAGTCAGGGGACGAGTTTTCTATGGCTTCTGGACTATTTTTGAATATTTTTGAATACTTCTGATTTTTCGTCCGAAATCCGCCTGCGTGAAGACATGCCCGACCTGAGTCGAGCTGGGATCGGCGATGCATCGCCGATAGGTCGGCGATGCAGTCAGGTCCCGTAGTAAGGACGAGCAACTTCTCAAGGCTGCCCTTGTGTCCTTGCCACTCCAGCCCATCCTTTTGGCAACTCGTTGGCCGACCCCATTTGACAACGCCAACATGGCCCTTCAAGGCCCCTGCATCCTTGCCGCGCATACTTATTACGTATGCGACTTGATTGTAGGCCCCCGATAGCGAATCCGCACGTCCCTGGGCGGGGTGGGCTATCAGGCCCCAGCGCAATCGGCGATTCCAGCACGATGTTTGCCCCCCTGAGCCTATCCCTCCACCTATCGTTGTGCCTCACCTAGTGGGTTGGTGGCCATCCTCCTCGTCGTTCTCATTCGGAAGAGGGGTGATCACCGCCAGAGGTGCAATCGATTTAGGGAGCCCCCTTCTGTCATCGATATCCTTCAAGATGGACCCAACAGGGCTTCCAAGGCATTACCAAGGAAGCCCTAAGACGCCCCCAAGAGGGCTTTGGAAGCTCCCGAACATGTTATTTAATCGCTTCGCTCATTCCGCCGGCCCGTCTTGTGCCCTCGCTGGCGTTTGGGCTTTTGGGGGCCTTTTGGGGTCCTCGTTGGGGGTTCCATGGGGGCCTCTTGGGTTTCTTGGGAGCCCGAAATCTCTCCGCGTGAAGCTTTCCAGAGGCCTCCGGAGGCCCAGCAGCGTAGAGGCGGCCGTCTCACCCTTTGGGCGCTACGCTGCAAGCCCGCGGCGCCTAATGCGACTCCCACCCAGCGATGGACCGCTCCATCGAGGAGTGGAGGAGGGGATCAGGAGGAGGAGGAGGATGAGGAGGAGGAGGAGAAGGAGGAGGAGTGCCTGAGGAGGGTAGACGGAGCGCTGTGCAGAAATTTCCCAGAATTTCTTTGTGCTCGCTGCCCATATTGTAGCATTGCTGGCTGGCACTTGCTAGCGTGGTCGGGGGGGCATTTGGGGGGCCTCCTGGAGCCGCTTGTGAGCCGCTTGGGAGCTTCTTGGGGGCCTCGTGAGGGCCTTTTGGGGGCCTCCTGGGGCTTCTTAGGGGCCTCTTGGCGCCTCCTGGGGGCTTCTTAGGGCCGAGGGCTCGAAATGTTGTTTCGTGTTCCTCTCTGGGGCTTCTCTTAGATCGTTCTTGGGGCCCGCTTGGGCCGTCTTGGAGGCCTCTTGAGCCGTCTTGGAACCCTCTTGGGCCGTCTTGGGGTCCTGTCGGAGGCCTCTCGGGCCTCTTAGGGCGATCTTGGGGGCCTCTTGGGCCGTCTTGGGGCGTCGCGATGCCGAAAAGGTGGAAACGCCCAAATCTCCCCATAAACTAAGGGAAAGCAATGAATTTTGCCCCCTCTTGAAAGTGCTCTTGAAAGCCTCGTTCGTGGGGCGTCTGGGGGCTATCTTGAGCGTCTTGGAGTGATCTTGTGGCATCTCGGACCCTTGGTGTACCATCTTGGGTGCCTCGTGGGCGCTCTTGGCTCTTCTTGGGACTCTCTCTTGGCCCTCAAGATGGACCCAAGAGGGCTTCCAAGGTATTACCAAGGAAGCCCGAAGACGCCCCCAAGAGGGCTTTGGAAGCTCACGAACTTGTTATTCCATTTGTTTTGCTCCCAACCCTCCTGCGCAGGGTTCTCGTTTTGAATGGAGCACTCCGCTCGCACACTCGTTCTCCCGCCTCCCTCCCGCCTGTCCTCCTACCCTGCTTCCCACCCGCCTTCTGCCCTGCCTCCTACCTGCCTGCTACCCTGCCTCTTCGCCGTCGCTGCAGGGCTGCGAACTGCGAATCTTTTGCCGCTTTCGAGGGCTGCTGGGGTGGGCAGCGTAGTGTGTGCTCGCCGCAGATTCAGACTAGGCCTCGTCATCCCTAGACGGCTGCGATCTGCGAAACTGTCGCCGCTTTCGAGGGTTGCTGGGGGGGCAGCATAGTGGGTGTTCGCCGCAGATTCAGATTACATAGGCCTCGTCATCCCGGGGGAGCTGCGATCTGCGAAACTGTCGCCGCTTTCGAGGGCTCGGAGGGGGGATCGCATAGTGGGTACTCGCCGCAGACACATTCAGATTAGGCCTCGCCATCTTTGAGGGCTGCGATCTGCGAAACTATCGCCACTTTCGAGGGCTGCTGGGGAACGAAGGGGGGGCAGCATAGTGGGTACTCGCCGCAGATTCAGATCAAACCTCGCCATCTCTGGGGGGGGCTGCGATCTGCGAAACTGTCGCCACTTTCGAGGGCTGCTGGAGAATGGGGGGGGCCAGCATAGTGTACTCGCCGCAGATTCATATTAGACCTCTTCATCCCTGGGGGGCTGCGATCTGCGAAACTGCCGCCACTTTCGAGGGCTGCTGGGGGTCTGGCGGAGTGATGTCACACGCGGACCTACAAGAGATCTCGCTCCACCGAAGGTCCCAGTGGCCGCGGCCGCACGCGCTCCTCCCCCCAAATTCGGTACACCCCTCACGCGTTTCGTGGCCCCACAGGGAGGTCCACCGGAGGCCCCCGTGTCGGAGTTCGCGTGCGTCCCCGCCGCCCATTTCTGCACACCCCTCACACGTTTCGTGGCCCCGTAGGGAGCTCCACCGAAGGCCCCATAGGCGGTGCTCCCATGCGGTCACCGCCCCCATTTCGGCACACCCCTCACACGTCTCGTGGTCCCATAGGGAGCTCCGCCGAAGGCCCCAGTGGCAGATCTCGCATGCGGTCACCGCACCCATTTCGACACCCGTAGGGAGCTCCACGAATTGCGTTACTCACAACTGCACATTGTTGGGGCCTTCGCCAGGCCGAGTTTTGCGCCCTTCTGTGTTTTTCTAAGGGAGGAAGCGGCGTCCGTGGTTTTTCGCCATTTTCAGGATCTCGGGGCCCTCACCTTCCCCGGGGCCGTCAGAAGCTGCGCGGGGTCAGAAGCCGGTCTCGGGGAAGGCCCCCCCTGGGGTCCAGGATCCGCTTCCCCTCGAGCCCGTCTGCGTCCTGCCGCTCCTGGGCCGAAGAAAAGGGCCAGGAGCGGACAAAAGCATGCGCGCGCGCGTTCACGCTCGTGGGCTTCGAGGGCGTGCGCTGCGCGAGCGCTCGCGACGCGAGGCTGGCCTCGCGGGCCGGGGGGCCGTGTGCGCGTGCGTGGCTGGGCGCGCAGGGCGTGCGCTGCGCGAGCGCTCGCGACGCGAGGCTGGCCTCGCGGGCCGGGGGGCCGTGTGCGCGTGCGTGGCTGGGCGCGCACGTCTTCCGTGGGCTCCCTGGAGTCGCAGGCCTAGAGGTTGACACCAACACCAAGATTGGCGGTGTGCCTCCACCGAGGGAAGACGATCCCGATCTTGGTGGTGGTGGTAATATTCTGGCTTCCAAGGTGGTCGAAATATTGCCACCTTGGACCAACACCGAAATCTAGGATCATTTTTACCTAACAGCGAAGACTGATAGGTTTCTAGTTGACTCAAAAGAGCTCACAGATCACTCCACAGGGGGGTCCGGGCAGGTGTTGGGGAGTTGCCGGGCGGCAGGGTGCCGGGCTCGTTTTTCACCAACAGTCACACACTTCGTGCTCTTCGACTTCCCAGAACTCCATTCCCAGGCCACATTCTCAATACCCGGATGCAACAGTCACACACTTCGTGCTCTTCGAGATCCCAGAACGCCGTTCCCGGGCCACATTTAGAATAACCGGATGCAACAGTCACACACTTCGTGCTCTTCGACATCCCAGAACGCCATTCCCGGGCTACATTTTGGATGCCCGGATGCAACAGTCACACACTTCGTGCTCGTCGAGTTCCCAGAACTCCATTCCCGGGCCACATTCTGGATGCCCGGAGCCAACTGTAGGCCACTTCCTGGTCTTCGAGTTCCCAGAACTCCATTCCCGGGCCACATTTTGAATAGCCAGACGCTTCAGGAATTGCTAGTGACACTGCAGTCCACTGCATTCAATCGTGCCACTGCATTCACTCACTGCAGGAGGAGGAGGAGGAGGAGGAGGAGGAGGAGGAGGAGGAGGAGGAGGAGGAGGAGGAG